ATTTCTTGTTCATTAACTTGTCCATAAACAAAGCCTGTTAATTTTTAGGTGTTGGTTTATTTTGTTAACACATACTGATTTGACTCTGGTCCATTTAAATTTTCTCTTCGTGATTTATTTTATGAAGCTATTAATTGCTAACCTTGTTTTTAGAGATTAAATTTATATTGCAGTGAAAGCATGTCTCTTGATCATGCCATGTCAGTCTGTTCGTCTGTGCTGGAATATATTGGTTGATGTTTTATGAGAGGCACACCACATTGGAATACATCATATCATTTTTCGTTGAATTTTTATTTATTTATTTTTTTTGTCTTGGCGAAATATTTTGGAAGAAAACCTTGTTGTCATCACAGTCGTACAATTATGTCCATTGGTTGGTTCGTTCCTTCTTCCTCCTGTTTTTTGTGTCTTTTTAATATTTAGTTGCAAATCTTGTAGAATTTTGCAACTTCTTGTTTGTTTATGCTTTTCACCATCATAGACTTCCAACTAAGGGTCCCTTTCACAGACTAAGTGCTCAGTATACTCAATTAAATTCCCATGTATATGTCAAGAAAATTACAATATTCATTTTGTCATCCTGAATCACACATTAGATTTTCTGCAGGGGAAAAATTAAAATAAATTCTGATTACATGGTGCTAAATATCAGGTTTACCAAGAGAGTATGCCAAGTGAGAGAGATAATGCCATACCACTCTAAAGGTAGGCAGTCAGTTTGAGATCTTGAAATGTGAATCAATGTCCGTTCATCAAGTACCCTGCAAATAGGACTCACACTTGCGGTTAAAAAGAGTGTTTTGATTAGACTTGATATCTTGTGGTCTACATGTTAAGTTCCATATCACTGGACTTCATGGCAGTTTCTCACACTTTGTGTAGAACTTATTACAGTTCGTGGGGCGAATTTCATGCCAGGAGCTGGTGTCTCTGAAGTGTTAAGGTTGTCGTAAACTGTATTCATGAGTAGTAGTTAGTAGCATTTATCCATCGCTTGCAGTTCATGAGACTATGTTTCCTCAGTATGTTTAATCCAAAAAGTATATGCAGGTATCTAACAACCTATTGAATAGGTATGCAAGACAAGTTTGATTATTTTTGGTGATTCTTGTAATCTCAATAAATGTGGAACTTGATACAGTTCAATAGAAGCTTGCTATTATTTTGCCTCGAGTACCCTTGGAGGTCAATGTCTTATTTGACACATGTAATAAGCAGGTATATGTCAGCCTCCTAGCGAGTTACTGTTTGCAAAACTAGTATGGGAGCCTTGTTTATATGAGACATCTTGGTGCAGGTGTTTCATGCCATGTGTTTTGACATCTAGTACACTTGCTGATAGATGGTTGAAGTGTGTAATTATCTAGTAGACCTATTCTGATAATTTATTGTTTTGAGGTCAATCTTATACATTTTGGTGGTAAAGCTCTGCGGATCTTCTTATCTAAACTTCTGACAATAATATATTTATCTTGTAGAGGTCATTGGCTTCATACATAAAAAAATTTGCCTGTTCAAATGCGAAGACTGAAGATCTATGGGCTGTTCTTGAAGAGGAATCGGGTGAACCAGTAAATATGTTGATGAATTCTTGGACAAAGCAGAAAGGTTATCCTGTTGTTTATGCAAAAGTTAACAATGGGAACTTGCAACTTGAGCAGGTTTGTTGCTGCAATGCTTGTTTTCTTCTTCTTTCTGCTCCTTTTCCCTAGGCTGAGCATGGTTGATTGTATCCTTTATCTATATTTATTTCTATGCCCTTATATAACATATAGACTTACTCCATTTAACATGTATGTGCAATTTACAAATTGTCATATGCTATTACCACCCAGTGCCTTTGATTTATTATCGTCTAAATTATTTTATCTTTTTTTGTCATCACAGACACAGTTTTTGTCAAGTGGGTGCGAAGGGAATGTACAATGGATTGTCCCTATTACATTATGTTGTGGTTCATATGCATCTCAGAAGAAGTTCCTATTGAAAACAAAATCTGAGAAGTTGGATGTGCCAGAACTGTTCAATCCAGAAAATCAGAAGATAAGTGGAAGTGTCTGGATTAAATTTAATGTTGACCAAACAGGCTTCTATAGGGTGAAATATGATGATGAACTTGCAGCAGGACTAAGACATGCAATAGAGGCTAATCAACTTTCTCCAACAGATAGATTTGGTACATTACTATAAAATTCTTCCCTTTTTTTGTATGGTTCTATTAACTGAAATATTGCTTCGACTATAGGTGTTTTGGATGATTCATTTGCCCTTTGTATGGCTTGTAAGCAAACATTGTCATCTTTGCTGTCTCTGATGGCCTCCTTCTCAGAAGAGGATGAATATACTGTTCTTTCTCAAATGATCACTGTGTGTCTCTCTCCATATCTTGGATGTTTTGCTCTTGCGCAATTGCAACATCTGATATAAGTACTTTTCACTGAACAGATTAGTTACAAAGTTATTAGTACTGCTGCTGATGCCACTCCAGAGTTGCTAGCGGACATCAAACAGTTCTTGATCAACCTTCTCTGGCATTCCGCAGAGTATGTGCTGTTGCATTATTTTGGCTAATTTATTTAGATATGTTGATATGTAACGATCTCTTGATTGTCTTTTTTCTTTACCGAGGTACTTCACATATAAAACATGTTGTTGATGGATCAGTTTTTGCATGTGATGCATACTACAGGAATTCTCAAATTAAGTCTCTTTCTTCAATGACTGCTAAACATATTGTAAGGATTTACAGCAGCAAGAAATTGTAGGATGGAATTACAAACATACTTAAGGATTAGGATAAGGAATATTAGAACTTGTTTTCTATGTTTTAGGAAGGTCTTTGCTAGGAGAATTTGTTCATTGGTAAAAATCTTTTGCAAAAGTTCATACATATAACCACATGTACAATCTCCTTCAGCATTGTCCTAGTTTTAAGGAATAAAATGGGAACATAGTTTATTCTCGGTATCTGCTTATCTGTGCAAAAAAATTTTGATACCCTATAATATTAGGAAAGAAGCATTTTTTGCTTGAACAGAGATATTGGGGAAAAAATTGGGTGGGTACACATAAAACCTCCTATTTGTTTTTGTAGCACCAGAAAGCTAAAACTTGCCTGACTAGATATTTTACAGGTTATATCTAAGAGACCATAATTTTATAAAATGATGTTATTGAACATTAAGAAATTGCATTCTCTAACATAATAGGTTATATGTCATCCTTCAGCATGTTGCTTGCTCATTCTTAACAGATTTATGTTGCTACTGGTCATCTTATTACCAGGTACATAATCAATCTCCCAAAACAATGGTTTTGGAGGATTTAGTGACATCGATATCTTTTTTTCTTGTGGTGTTTGATTTCCTGGGTAATTTCTTCTACAGGAAGCTAGGTTGGGATCCCAAAAGCAATGAAGGCCACTTGGATGCAATGTTAAGGGGAGAGTTGTTGACCTCTCTTGCAGAATTGGGGCATGATATTACTACTAAAGAAGCAGTCAGACGTTTTTATGCCTTCCTAGATGACAGAAATACATCACTTCTTCCTCCAGATATAAGGAAGGTAAGGATTTGGCTTTAAATCTTCAATTTTCATACGCATTACTCATTGTTGATGTTTCATTTAAAATGTTCTGTAGGCTGTATATGTTGCTGTGATGCAGACTGTCAACAGTTCGAACAAACTAGGATATGAATCTCTTCTGAGGGTTTACAGAGAAACTGATCTAAGCCAAGAAAAAGGCCGTATATTAAGTATGTTGATATAAAGTTCTATCTGAAAGTGAAGAAGTTTGAATTGTTTTGTGATCTTGATGGTCTTTTTCTTCATTTGAGCTAGGTGCCCTAGCATCCAGTCCTGATCCTGCAGTTGTTCTTGACGCCCTAAACTTTCTACTGTCTTCAGAGGTAATATTTCCTTTTCTTCATGATTAGATATTTTTTTTCCAATCTCAACCTCTTCCATTGATAACTTGTTTTGATTTTCTTTTCAGGTTCGGAATCAAGATGCTGTTTTTGGGCTTGCTGGAATTAGTAAAGAAGGGCGAGATGTTGCATGGGTGTGGCTGAAGGTACCCAGTTATTAGGTTTAAGAATATCATGTTAGTACCACTAAATAAATTAGAAAAGAACTTTACCTATATTGTGGCATGTATTCTTTTCTGAAATGCTACTTGCCTGACTTAATGTTTGTTGTCCTTATTTTTGCAGTACGACTTTCATTTTTAATCAGCTTGCTTGCTTATGTTCTTTTAGATATTTTTTCCCTATAAGCAGCTAAATCGAAGGATGTGTTGTCAGATACTTCTAAGGTATATAAGGGAAGAATGTCAGGAGTGGCAGACAAAAATAGTCCTCTCTAAGTTGGACAACAACCAGAGATTCTAGTGACATTAATGGATTCCATATTTACAGGATGAATGTTTTTTTATTAATCTCACCTTATTTAGCATATCATGATCATTAATGTTCTAGAAGTGCATTGATGTTAGAGAAGTGGGTAAGTTGTCATCTATTTTCTAGGAAATGTGGCAATCTTCAAAGCTGCCTAGAAATCAAAATATGTTAAAATTCTCAAGAAAGACAAAAAATTGAGCACTCAATATCCAAATATCTATCCACACAAATTGCAAGCTTCAGTTGTTATCACTATATAAGAGGCTGGTAAACCCATTATAACAGAGGAGTACAAGGCTACTGCATTTAGTATCACGTTAGTGAACTTTCCAGTCATTGATGTATATGATTTCAGATATTTATTGTTCCAAGTACATAGAGCGCACCTCATAGAACACTGGTACCTTAAGGATCAATTGAGTTATCAAAATTTTTATTGAACTGGTATTTAAAATCATGGTATATATTGTACAAAATTGGGTCCACCAATGATTTGATGTCTTTTTGAAGACAATCCTTAAAACCATACTTAACAATAAGAGTAAAAAAATAGGATGAAAATCATTTACAAAGTACCCTAAACAAATTCAACTGAAACCCAATCTGACTAAAGTTCTAAATTGCACCCTTGACTAAATGACCTTGGTCTCTGCATCACATAATTTATAATTCTTTTGTGTATATGGATTTGCTTGCGACTTATGAAATGCCTGTTTCACTTTTATATTAAATGGTTAGATTAGATAGTACTCAGGCGCTGCCTGCAAATATATAGGGCAAACCAACAGTTGCAGTTCAAATGTCATTTATGTTATGTTCAACAGAGCAGTGGCAAGCATTGTATGTCCTAAGTGAGGCAAAACCTAGTACTGAAACGGTTAATAAGAAAGTAGATGTTGTTCATGTTGTGGTTGACAAAGCACACTGCAGCTAGCACATAGGAATTTGTGATACCAAAATAATTGCTATGCTTTTCTTCTTTTGTTACGAAATGTTAGTATGTAGATTTTGTTTCTTATAAATGGTTTATAAGGATCGTGTGCTCTTGGGCTGCAGGAAAACTGGGATCACATTTCAAAGACATGGGGCTCTGGATTTCTGATCACCCGCTTTATCAGTTCCATCGTGTCACCGGTCTATATCGATTTCTTTTCTAGTTATTCTAATTGCTGCTTTCTGAGGCAGATAAGCATTCTCACAATAAAAATACTAAAATGGCCATTTGTCTGGCTGCTGTCTTTTCAGTTCAACTCGGATGAGAAAGCCAATGAAATAGAAGAATTTTTTGCAAGCCGGACTAAACCTTCCATCACCAGAACGGTGAAGCAAAGCATTGAGCGAGTCAGAAACAATGCAAAGTGGGTTAAGAGCATCGGGAGCGAGCAGTCGCTTGGAGACATTGTGAAGGAGCTTGCAGACAACAAGTTGCACCCATCGCTTTGATATCAGATCCCTCTTGTTGGCAACACGTAAGTAGAACTAACTCTTTGGCAACAATGTGTGTTTGAAACGATGTAGCTCTATCAGTATATCAATAAAACAAGTTTCAACTTTTTGTCGTCTGGTGAATCAGGACAGTTACAGATCAATTAATATCGTACCATACGTATGACAACTGCTATAGTATTATATCGCTCATTTTAACAAATGCCAGTGATATTTATATATTTTTGGGTTTGAAGTTCTATAATTGGAAGGTCAATAAGGTAGAGTAATAGATCCATGGTCCTACTTAACATGCAAAGCAGCCGATGAAGACGAAACCCGCCATCACCTCTTCTTGAGTGAAAAAAACCTATGAAAGGCTTATGAATGGTCCAAAATACCAACCTCCATTTATTTACACCTCTGTGGCATTATTGATTGACAAATTTGTTTGTAGCAGTTGAGTTACATTTGTCCAGTGGCCAGCTTCCTTCTCTCTTCTGTTATGATTGCATCTTTTCTTGTACAATTCCTTTTTATTTCTGATGGTATTTCAACTTTTAATGTCAGATATAATTGGAAAATATATCAAAATCCTTTTTATTTCTTGTACAAGTCTGTTTTTTTTTTTTGTGTTAAAGCAGACTTATAAAAGATACATCAAAATATCAATTTATTATCAAAAATAAATATTAATCATAGCAACATAAACAATAGAATAATAAATCAATCATAAACAATCTGTCTTGTTGGTCTTTGTTTCCGATTCATGTTTTCTGTTTGTTTAGTGGTTTTCATAGATTGTGGTGTTCCTCAGTTCTGATTTTTGACTAAGTATTTCTAACAAGTAGATCGAAAGATGCCTCGACTCTGCTCCCCAACTCCATCCGTGTTCTTGTGGTCTTCTTATGGTAAACTGGAATCCTTTGATTGATTTGGGTTTCTTGAGGTAACGGTAATTAGTTGGAAAGGTGGTGGAAACGGTGAGGCTTCAAAGCGGGATAGCATTGTTTTGTTTCGTCCTTTTTGTTCACTATTTGAAGCACTGCATTACATGTCTAGTATTTGCATATCCATTCTACAAATCCACTCTGGACACATGCTGATTTTATGTTCTTCAGATAGAAATTGAGTCTAAGCTACCCTATTTTATCATTTTTGGAGGCTTTAGGTATCATTTACTAGTCAGATGATATGCATTTGCAATTGATTACAAAATGTGGATTATTCATATATATAGGAGAATTGGTAATAATTTAATTTTTAATTTATTTTCATAAGAGAAATATAATATTTATTTCTCATGATCACATGAAATTGGAATGTCAATTATTTACTTCCTAAAAATCAAATCACTTATTAAGAAATAGATTAATTAATAATTTAATTGATTAATAAAATTTGTAACTTATCAACATGATTAAGAAAATCAAATCGAATCATTTTCTTAATTATAATACACAAATATATAAATTAATAATAATAATATTATTATTATTTATAGTAATTAATTTATATTAATGAAAAGAAATTATCGATATAGTGGTGGCCATCATCTGCTCTGCGCTCACAGGAAGGAAGAGCCACCGCGAGGCTGATTCCGCCATATAGGAGTCGAAGCTGCTCGATCCAAAAAGGATGTAGCTTTATTTTTCTAACAACTTTTTTCACTACAGTAAATAAAGGCTAAGTTAAATTCAGTGTAAAGTTGGGGTTGTGGACAGATGGAAGGAACCACCTTTGTGCTCTGGATTCAATGAACCATGATGACCAAAGAGGATGGATCATAGGACCGCTAAAGAACCTCAAAGTTTCTGTATTTTCTTTTAGGACCAAGAAAGGGTTTTGCGGTTATGATCATATAATGTTTACCGGTCTGATTAGGTATCATATTAAAACATAACAGTTCATATTTTGAGATACCTTCAAACCTTATGATCGATTGATAGGTAGATAGATGTAGAGACCGCCTGCGAAGCAGTCGATGAAGACGAACATGACTACACGCAACAGCGTGTCGGCGGTGAGGCGGAGCAGAATCCGAAGCACAAAGGCGACCGCCGAGTAGACGAGGCTCGCGATGGTGGCTCTTCCTGCGGGCGTAGAAGACGGGCACCGCGGTCGATATGTGTATTATATGAGATATTAAATAGGATTATAGAGGTTTCTAGAAGAAATGTATTATCTTCAATTGGCATAGTGTCAATGAGATTTAAGAAAAAAATTTATTGCTTACATAGTAGAAAGAAGAAGACATAAGCCCCCCCCCCCCCCCCCCACTCGCGCTCTCGTGCTCTCGTCGTCTCTCGTCG